GTAGTGAGTTAACTATTTTGCATTTCTGGTACAATTTTCTATTTCAGGACTAGGTACGAACAAGACTTACCTTGCCATAACAGCCATAGATGACTGACAAAACTCTCTTGGTACTGGGGTGGAGCGTAGTTTCTGTATGATGAAATATTGCATCTAGTATACATAGCTGAGAAAAGTAGTATCAAAGAAATCATCAGTCTAGCTGTTTTGTAGATTTTTGAATCTGACAAATACCATAGAAAAATCATCTAAAGAGGAAAGGTCCAGCATACTGCACAAAAATAGTGTATATTTATTCTACTCTCATATATTTTGATATTAACAAGATGATAGATATATTCTGCCAGTTAATGGAAAATCTTATAATAGCAGAAATGAAGATCAGCATCAGTATTCAAAATCCAAAGATTGATTAAAGTGGCAGGTAATTTAAGAGGTTACAACATATGGCAAAGCTATCACCTCTGCCTAGTAAGTAATACATTTTTGCTGTAGCCATCACCTTCCTACTTCCAGTATAGCCTTTCTAACTGATATCCTTAATAGAAGACCAGAAGAATACCTTGGAGCACAGTGGCCGCAGAGGATACAGCATTAGTAACCTGTAATTTACGTGACTAAATCCCTTAAATCCAAACTTAGCCAGGAAAAAAAAAACTGGCAATATCAAAACAACATAATATGAAAGGGAAGGTCAAAATGAAAAAAAGCAATCAAGGAACAATAGCTGTTGAACCAGTAAAAGACATGGTGATAATTGCAATGCTTGTCTCTATCGTTCTTTATGGTGAATGAATTCCAGGAAGAGATATGAGAAAGATTATATATGATTTTGGAAATAGGCATCATTTGCAGTCCAACATACTGGTTCTAGAAGCGAGATCTATGTTCACTGGAAAAAAATATTTCTTTTACAGCTGCTGCAAAGAGGATAACAAGTAGTCTATGAGAACTGTGAAAGCTGTGGGCTAGTTCATTGGCTTAAATGTATAAATATACATAGAGCAAGCTACTGAGCTGCAGTCCCTGTTTCCCTTAAAACTTCTTGAAGGCTAACAAGTTCTTGGTGAATAGTTTTTGAAGCTCACTAAACCAAATTTTCAGAAGAACTGAATCCCATTAAGTATTCCGATTGGGATTTATCTGATCTATGTCTGAGTGACTTGCCGAGGTTTCCTTTATAGTGAGTGATGAGAAATAAATATTTCTGAAGCACAAATCATCTCCTAAAAGACGCTGCTAAAATAGGTCAGCTAAACCACAGCTAGAAAGGAGAAAAACTGCTCGTTTCTCTCTGTTAGCTACAAAGAAATCATGGGGCAACTGGTTTAGATGCACATGGATACATTGCCGATGCTTTGGAGTAAGAGATTAATTGAAGTGATTAAGACCTTCATAGTTCAGAGTGGAACGCTGTTCAAAATGGGGCCATCCAACAGGAGGAGGTAGGTTCCTTATACCTGAAAATTTGTTCCTATGTTCAAATTATAAAATATGCTGCTAGATACTGGGCATGTGACATTGTAATGCAGTAGCATGCAAAGTGCTGTGCTGTTACCTTTGTTAATATGAATTTGTTAATACATTTCCTTCCTCCTTTTCTTGTAAAAAGATAAAAAATACTGTGATAAAGGATGCAGTTCAGTATGCCAGTGCAGCCGAGAAACCCATGAAATTCAGATATTTTGGAAAGTTATGTGGCCATCCCTAGCCACAAACAGAGGAGGAATATGTTTGGGAGGGGAGAAACAGAAAGCCTGTGGATGCTTTATATCCTTTCCCACCTCCAAAAGCAGTAAAGGCGACTTTCCTAAGAGTAAGTAAGAATGGATCAAAGCATTGAGTATGGCCATTGTGTGTCATCGTGTGGTCTGGGGGAAATGGCAGGGTTAACGTCAGGCAGAACTATTCAATGATTCCTTCCCAGAGCACTGCAAACCGTTTGGGGGTGCTTCAGTGCAATCCTTCAAGAGAGAATGCATGATTTGCAGGTGTCTCAGCTGATTCTGCAAGGACCAAATGGTACCTACTGGTGGGACATTTAAGAAAACTGCAGATCAGACATTTATGCAGTTTCCCACCTCCCACTTTAAAGTCTGCTTGCTGGTTGCATGTCTCATGCTTGCACAGTCATAATTAGGAAACCTAGATTCCTTCCTCACCTTTACTATTCTCTCTCTCTCTTTCTCTCTCTCTCTCTCACAATCTATACTGACTTGGGAAGCTGAATGCCAGTTCAGTCTTGAGTTAGAAGAAGTGAAATGGCTCAAGGCTGAACAGGCAATGCTGGAGTTCCAGCTAATGGTCCCTTTCCTAGTGTAATTTATCTGCCAGTGGAGCTATTTATTTTGTTACAGACTCTAACCATGCAGAAATAAAATCATCAGGGAATCTTTTTCTCAGTATGAGATGAGACCTAAACTAACATGAAGGTCCAGCAGTATCTGGTAAATAATTTCTTAAGTGCAGTAAGAAGACAGCAAGACAGCAGCATCTACCCAATTAGTGAAGCAATATGAAATGGAAGACAGAAAAACATTGAGCAGTATTTATGCTTAATCTAGTTTAAATAAATTCGTCTTTCTTCTATTTTTGCAACATCTTACTTTAATCTTTCCCCGTAGAATTCAGATAAAAGAAGAAACAATTGATCAAGTTTTGACTGATTTGAAACAAGTGGAAGAAAAGAACAAAGAATATCATGAAAGAGTAAGTTACCATACATCTTTCTCCCACCACATTTTATACGTGATTTTTTAACTCACAAAATTATATTTGATTTTTTCAGTCCAGAGACTGTAACTGTAGTTATCGCTGTGAATCCCTTGAAGTCAATGGAACTAGAGTTAGCGAATCGCTTTATGTTCTTAAAAGTTAAAATGGTATCTAAATTACAGGTAGTACCTACATAAAGTATAACTCTATTCTAAATGTGACCATGTGAAACGGAGCAGCAGAGGTAGAATGGTGCAGAATGGCCAAAGGAGCAAGTTAAAGTGAGTTCAGTGAGGGTGATTTCCAATGCACATGAGATCCTCAGTAACTGCCTATATATCTACTCTTACCCTGCAGCGAACATAGGCCAGCTAGCCCACCTTTCCACTAGGTAACTTTATTGCAGTTTGTCCAGATGTACATAGCCTTTTCAAAGAATCCTGCAAACGTTCCTCAAGAAAGTCAAGGATACGCTTTCAGCACAGAAATGTATAAAAAATATTGTCTCATTGTTGTCAGTAGTGTTAACAGGTATAGCCAAGTACTGAGATCTGCTAACTAAAAAGGACTTCTTTGATTCACTTCTGAGGTAATGGAATTGCACAGGTACCTATGAGGTCTTAGCTGTTCTTGCAAACTTAAGTTATAATGAAAACTGAACAAAGAATAAAGAGCTTTGCACTTTCTAGGCTTGTCTAGCCCCAGTTTTTAGCTCTGCTTGATGGAAGGTCACTTTCTTGTGGATTTGTTATTAGGAGTCATTTTTAAAGCAAGGTTATGTAATTACTGATCACACTAGAGTGAATGGCTTAAAGAGCCATTTAAGGTGGCATCTGAGGACTGAGAGCAGTGAATTTTGACTGTGGATACATATGCCGTCACATACGAAACAAAATTAATCAAAATCTCTGAAAAATCCTTAAACTGTATTATGTTGATCAAACAATTCTGCAGGTTGCTCTTCCCACAGCAATGAAACAGTGAAACAAACAGCATCTCTCTGCCCTTCCCATGCCTGATGTTTGTAGTGCTTTTACAAATGCCTATCTATTTAGTTTTCCTTGGTGTGCCTTGGAGTCCTGAAGCCTTGATTGCATTTCGTTTGTAGGTATTAACTATCAGTGGAAGTGGCATTTGGCTCTTCTCTCCGCAGACATGTTCGGTCTCCTGTGGCTGTTCCCCCAGTTTGCAGCTAGTTCGTGGTCTCTGAAGGACTTGTTCATAGTTCAGACTTTGGAGGGTAGCACTTTAGGGCATGCTTCAAATGCTTTTTGTTAAATTTAGCCATGTTCTAACAACCCCTTGGGCTTCCCTCTTTGTTTCCTACTTCATGTTTCTGAGTGGTTTAGAGTTAATACTTTCAGAAGTGGGAAATGTTTGAAACTCTCTCTACTGCATTGTTATTGTTAGTATTTGTCTGGTATGGTTATTTGCTCTTTCATCATATCCTTTGGGAGCAAACATACAGAATTGGTAATTTCAAATAATTTGAGTGTGGTGAGCACAGGAGGGTCATGGCAAGAGGATATAAGTACAGTTATGGAATCACGAGGTATAACTCTTAATTGCAGCTCTGACAGGTCTTCCTGCTGTGGTTATAAGCAAGGGATTTGATTGTCTAATGTCCTGGTTTATTATTTCTATGTCAAAGGTGCTAAATGTTCATGAGGAATATTGAAGTTGATAACTCTTAAGAATAAATATTGTTATTAAATCAACTCGCAAGCAATGTTCTTGCCAGGCAGTAGAGGACTATTCACGTGATGCACCAAGTAGAGTAAGGCCATCGTTTGTCTCTCATTTCCTTGTAGAAACAGGCTTGAAGTTATTGAGAAAGTTCTGAGTCTTGCAAACTGATCCCTTCCCTCCGGCCTTTTCAAATAAGAAGAACAGCTCTTTTCAGCTGAATTTTTTTGCAGTGCACCTTGGCACTAACCCTAATGTGACTTTTCTTCATTACTTAAGTTTATAACTTAGAAAACTAATTTGAAAACACTTTAATATGTGCCTTTCCTACTGTTGTTCTTTCACAGAATGACCGTCTGAAGGATGAACAACAGGCACGCATCAGGCGTATCTTAAGAAAGCTAGAAGAGAAGGAGAAAGAACAAGACCAAAAGGAGATTGTAACTAGGGATGACGTTGAAGAGTCACTGAAAGCAAAATGGCAGTATGTTAAGGACAAGGAACAACTTCTGAAAGGTGTGTTGTGAAGTGTGGAAGTATGATTTTGCTGTTTACACAGTTGGGATTGAGTAGATCATTTGCATTTTAAATAGAGATTCAGCTGCCATGTTACATAAAAAGCATACAGCTTTTCCTCCCCAAAACGAAGCTCTCTAGGTGTAGAAGGAGATTATTATTGAGGGTTTATAAATAAATCTGTTAACTAAGTTGGATTAAAATTCAGTAGAAATGGGTCTTTTATTGAAACAGACCCCACGTATTAGACTCTATTTTGTTCCTTCCAAGCAATGTATATTACTGTGGAAGTACAGATGCTTCATATTTTCCATTAAGCTGAAAGTCATGAAAGCTCCCCTGCATTGGCTCTACTGGAAGATAAAAGAAAACATTGATGGCAGCAAAAATGACTGTTTTTGATTGCTGAAAGTTCTGGCTGCCATCCCTGTGGTTCGCAGTGGGAGTGAAGTCACAGGTGTCTTTGGTTACAATGTTTCAGTGAGAACTGTTGTCTCCTGTTGGCAAAATAAGATCAAGCTGCTGTCATCAGTGATGGTGGCCCTTGACACTATGTGAGGCCATCATATCGCATACCAGCCATCTACCTGCAATCCCAGGGACAGTGCCTTTATTAAAGAAATTGATGAACTCATGAGAATTATCAGTTCAATAATTTTGTAAAGAACCTCTCTTCTGATGTTCTTACTTCAACAGATCTGCGCTTCCAGATAGAAGAAACAGACCAAAAGCTCTTAGTAAAGCGGGCCGAGAGAGATTATTGGTTGGAGTACAAAGATGTAGGAAGTAAAACACAGGCCAGCAAGATTGAGAATCTGGAAAAAGACATCAAGGAAGTTAAAGATGACTTTCACAGGGCTAGAGGTTAGTTTACAGTTAGTATAATACATATTTTACAGCCTCCCTGTGTATAACCTACGTGAATTAAATTATGAATTTAATTTGAGGACAAGCTAATTACGGCCATTTCTATCAACATTTCCAAACCTCTGCACCTAAAGTGGGCTGCAGGAATTATGAATGCTCAGTTAAAGAAATTGATGATCCTATCTTCTGACAATTTTATTGTAAAATACAGAGAAACAGTTTTTAAAAAACGCTACTCTGAAGGACAGCAGATTTCTAAAAATTAGACTACGTGTATTTGGATACCAACAATACAAGTCTTCCTGGAGCCTACGTTAGTAGTTGATTGAAGATGTTGACTGTTTTTGTTTCTTCTCATCATGCTTAAGCACTTCACATGTTGAAAAATCCTTTGACAGGGAAGTAGTATGAGCTCATTCTTGGAACAGATTCTTTTGAATTGAAAATACATACTAGTTTAAATTCAGTACTAGGGGGAGCTTTGTAGCCAGTGATCTGAATTTTACCTCCTAGTTACGTAGTCCCATGTATGAGACGTAGCAAAATTGCCAGCGCATATATACACAAATCCTGGGAACTGTTTCAATTCTGATACAACAGTAGAACAGATTTAAGAGCTTACATGTTGTGGTGCTGAGTGCTTTACAAAGCCACTAGATTGTCTCTACTACTGCATTATTTTAAAGTCATTTAAATATTTAACTGTTTTGTAACCAGAACTATTAAAAGGAAAAAGAAGTCCTGATTTTCTTCCTTTATGACCTTCTTAGTATTCATGACCACAGCCAAACAGCTGGTTGTAACAGGCAGTGACATTGCTCTAAGAGTCTCTGTATATTCCATGCCAACCATTACCAGGCATCGACTACTGTGGATAAGATGCAGTTAGCTATCTTTTTGTCTCTAGAAACATATTTTTTCATGATTAAGATCTGCATTTTGTATTCTGCATTGCCAGCTAGCTTGCCAGATATCCAAGTGTGTATTCAAGGAGAGGCTGATATTTTCCATTATGCATATTCCATGTTTTCAATCTGTTTAAACTTTGCTATGTAGCTGCTGATACATGAAATGAACAGGAAAATGCGCTTTTACACAGAATGCCAGAGTGAAGCATTAGGACAGTTCAGTCTGACCTCCTACATATCACAGGCTGCAGAGCCAAAAATTTGTGGTTAAATTGAAGTATATTTATAGAAAGGTTGTCACAGAGGTACACTTAGCAGTTGCCTAATTAATGTACTGCAAAACTGTGTTACCTATAATGGATATTAACGTGCTATTTTACTCAAGTTCCTAAAATCAAACTTAAAAATTGGCTGCGGAATGCAGTCTTCTAGTGGACAACCAACCATCTCACAAGTTTCCAGTGTGATACTGCAGCAAATTGGGCTTGTTCAGTCCTCGAATGTTTAGCAGACTTAGGGAATAAGTGTAGGGTACCTTTCTTTGGGTACGTTTAAAGGGCTTTGTGCTGGCATAGTTCATGTGGTCTAGAGATGGCATTTTAAACAAAGGTATTAGATTGGAGGGGAATCATAAGAAAGACGTATGCTTAGGTGAGGTCCGGAGAAAACTGTTGCAGTGACAGACTTGTTAGGGAAAATAGCCTCCACAGAAGAAGTGAGTTTATGTGAACAGTTCCTCTTCTTCATTCTCCCGTTACATCTCAGGTTGTTTAGCTGTCTGCAAGAGGATGAAAAGTTGATTTAATTGTAGTGTGTAAATACCTCCAGTTCGTTTTGCTACGTCTAGATGGTGGCTTTATTAAGGTAGGCCAGTTTTCACAGTGTTAGATTAAGAACTGATGCAGCTACCTTTCACATTTGACTGCTCGCAATTTCGCAGTGCATCTGTGGCCAGATACTCATTTAGAGCCGGGTTAGCTAGCAGTAGGCAGTGCTCAACACAAGTCGAGAGCTAGCTTCTGGAACAAGTGTGAACTGCGTTCCTTCAAAGAAAAGTACCACAACCTTCGTTAATTTTTTTCACAAGGAGAAAATGCCAAACACTAGTGGGCTATTTAGAATAGCACAAAAATAGCTGAAGAGAATCATGAAATAACTAAATAGCAAGAGAATGGAACTTGAAACCAAACAAATTTAATTACACATAAGACACGCTTTCTAAATAATGGCCACGATTAATGATGAAAACAAATTGCCAAGGCGATTGCTATATTCTATGTTTTGTCCTCTTCTCAAGTGAGATCTTTCTGGAAGGCTCAGACATCAGAGAAGCTTTTAGGCTCAATATGATGGTAACTGAAAAAAAACTACACTAGCCCCTGCTCAAGATGATCTCATATGCATTTAAACCTAAAAAATAAGTTTTCTAAACATATCTCTTCCGTGACTGCTGAAACTCTGCTATTGAAAGAATCAAGATTTAGTGCTAAGATACACCTATTTTAGGAGAGAATAACTCCTTTTATGAGCTACTGTAGTTGCCAACAGAAATGTATAAGCTAGTTCAGATTTCTAGTTTTGTAGCTAGCACTAATATCCTTTGGGTTTCAGACAATTATTGTGGAAAGGATGCCTGATTTTGTGGGTTTGTTCCTTCTTGTGGGGCATTAATACGTATGCATGTGATGCTGGCTAGGAAGTTCCAATTTGGGAATAACATGCCAATTGCCTCTTTGTTGACAGGGTGAACCTAATGTCATAAAATGATTTCTGATTTTCTTTTTTTTTTTTTTGATTTATTTTTGAAGAATATTATACAAATGCTTTGAAAACAGTAGAAGAAAAAAAGGACAGACTGGTTGAGACACAAGTGAAGAAAAGTAAAGAACAGGCCCCTGAGGTATTCATTCTGCCTTTTTCAAAATGCTAGCTGAATCTTATTGATTCAAATATTCTGTATTAATGATTATTTTAACTGGAATTAAGATTTTGAACTTTTCCCATAAATTGCGAGTAAAATATCCTGTAAATACGCTTACTAAATGCTGCATTCCTTGTTGTTATAAACATGCTGTACCTGTTTTTTACATAAGACTAACAATCAGTAAATCTGAGGGAATTTTACAAAGGAAGCAGAGGAACCTGGGGCACTATGCAGTGACTTGACTTATTCAAGAACATGTCACTTTTACCATGACCTTAATGTTGATGTTTGCATAGACTTGGAAAGCCAGTGAGTAACATATTACGACATTGTCTACCTGGAAATAGACATTGATTTGAAAAATACAGAAGTGTGTTTTTTACTTTACAGGCAAATTTTGAAACTATCAAAATAGTGTAGTCTAAAGTAAAATTTAGGTTTATTGATATACAGATCTTTCTGTCACCTCTGCCAACTCTGACTGCAATCATGACTTTACAAAGTGTTTATGGTGATGGTTTTTTTTCGCTCCTCAAATGCAAAGCGTACTTCAGTAGTTAGATAAGTCCACTAGGTGTTTACATTCCCTGACTTCAGTACTCTGATTTTCAGAGTAATCCAAAGGACTGTGTGTTTATGGTGATCTACAGTGGTTTCTTCCCTCCGAATTCTTTCTTTCCTGTTATTACCATCAATAATTAAATTGTAGCTTTGGCTCATTAGAACAAACCTCTATATGTTTAAGGCACATGGGATGAATCAGTACTGCTTCATTTGTGATACTACTTGGGTTTTTTAGTAGATAAAGGTTTGATTTCTTCAAAACAGGAAGATTTCAGCAGTAGTGGGAACTCAGCAGAACTTGTTAAACAGAAGAAATTTTTCTAATTCAAATAGAGGAAATGATAAAATACTGGTAAATTCCTTGTCCTGTAAACGGCACTGGGCAGGATGATGGAGATGAAACAGCTGGCCTTGTGGACTAAATCTCTTTCTAATCCCTCAGGGAATGTTACAGTCTGTTGTGCGGATATTTCTTGATTATTTCCTACTAAACAGCAGAAGGTGCTTTTTTTTAGTGTACAGCACTGTCAAAGTCCTGCCTTCACATGAGATGATCTTAAATTGTGTTTTCTTAGAACGCTGTAAAACACATAGACAAAAGCAGTTGCAGGGACCTTGAAGAAAATGAATGGCTAAAAGAAGAGGTAAGAAGATCACCTGTTTTCAGTTTATAATGACAGTTAGGGTCTGAAATTAGCAATGGCCCACAGTCACAACTCTGTTTCCAGTGATGGGCCTCTGAAGACGTTCATGAGGAAAAAGAGAGTGGTTTTCCTGTAATTGATTTGTAACTATGAATAGCAAGCAGTGTAAGTGGCAGATAAAGGTAGACGGTGACCATCTTTTTCACAAATTCAGAACCTGCTTCCCTGTAACACCTATTTTCCTATACGAGTTATATGAAAGATTAGAACGTTTCATAAAATTCAGTATGAGGTGGTGTCAACAGGGGAGATACACCTCAGAGTACTCTTAGGTCCTGGCAGGCCCTCTTCTCAGAACTGAGAGGTGTGGGTTTCTTTCCTTTCAGCTAGAGGAGGAATATGAACCCATTCCAGCTTCCAAAATTATGAATTAGTGCTCTGAATTATTGTGGAAGACAAAACTGTTATCATTAACTTCTCCGGTCTTCAGATTTCAGCTGTTTTCCTATAACAGATGAAATATTTTACTTCAGGCTAAATGGAAATGTGTAGCCAGCAGATTCTTCCAGTATTTTTGGAGGGGGAGGAGGAGGATAAATCAAAAATTTCGGTTTTATCTTTGTTCCCAAATTTCAGTTTGGCCACTGCACTGAAAAATGCCTTACCAACACAGCCCTAATGTAGTTAGTTCCACATCTGTATGGATTTGGAGACTCCGATTACGTTCTTCAGTGGTTACTCTGTCACCCCAAGATAAATGCAAAGCTGCATCACCTCACAGGGCCAAGCCACGTCCTGCTACCAGTTAATGTCCTGTCATTTTCACCTTTTGTAATCCTTGGGGCAAATGTAAGCTAGCTTTTCATTGCAAATTTGGATGATTACAGCTGGGTTAATTTGGCTTAGGTGTGAAGAGATACATTCAGATCACTAGGTATTGTTCCTATCCACGTACCCTGTGGCTAAGATTTCTGGAAAAGTATCCATCCCACAGTATATCTCACTTCTTACCCAAGTGAGTGGGGAAGGAACTTGCTTGTACTTCAGGATGAGCCAGCAGAATTGTGAGAATTGAATAACTAGTATCCTTTGGGCAATATAACTTCATAACAATGTAGCATTATGGGGTAATTACTAGACCAAAAGAAAGTAGAATTTGGGGTTTAACCAGTGGTCTGACTAACCTAGGCTGAAAGCATCACTAATTCAAGGTAAGAAAGTTGTGTGTATAGGCAGGAACTAGAAAAGCAACACTTTCTGAGCAAGAGCTTGAATTTAACTCTGCAAAGAAGATTTTTCTTTTAAAGCTCTGATGTGAAACAAAAGAGAAAAATGCAGAGCACCTGTCCCTCAGGACTGGCTACTTTAGAAGATTCTGCTAACAAAGTTGCGTTGTCCAGACCTTTGTCTCTAACTGACAGAGCTGTGTCAGTAAAGGGTTCCAGTAAAGATGTGAAAGAACCAGAGGCCTTTGCTTGGCCTGAAAACGTGCCATTACACTGCTCCACCAAATGCACAGTCTTGCTGATACAGCTGCATTCTTCCCAGGAATGTACTACTGAGGTAGTTATTAGGCAAGCTTTCTAATATGGATGTAGCCTTTCTTGTCTTTCTAAGATTACCTTTTATTTTATTTTTTTGTCAAAAGGTGAAAATATACCAAAAGGAGATAAGTGATCTGAAAGCCTCTATTTACCTCCTGGAAGAAGAAAATATAGGTCTAGTGATGAAACTGCTTGATCTCAGACTTCAGAATCTGAGAGTACCCAGGTAAAAGTATACCTTTAGAGACTCAAAGACAATTATTATTTTTAAAGGTAACACCTGCTCCTGCCTCTAGAGCTACCTGGGCTCTCCAGCAACAAAAACAATGTAGTTTTCTAGTTGTGCGGAGGCAGGATTTGCCTATATGTGGGACTTACTTGTATCTCTGAAGGATGACAGTGACATTGTAACTCCATAAGCACCAGCATTCAGGGAAGAAACTCGATTATCTGTTAACAGTACAGATCCTCCTAGCCACACATTTTCTTTTGGAGGAGATACAATTGGGGCTTGGAAATAGTTTCTTTTTTATTATATTTTTTATTATATTTTTATTATTTTATGTTATTATACTGTCTCAGACCCAGCTTCTCAGACTAAGTGCTGAGTAATAGATTTGTCCTTTATTGTTGGCAAAATGTTAGAGGATGTGAAGATTAATATGCAAATATATGAGGTTTTGCAATCTCAAGTATAACAGATGACATGCGGTACAGAGTAGAAGTAAGGAAGGGGCCTGGGGATGGTTCTATCTGTAGAGGTGACTGGGGCATTAGTTTCTTTTGTATTGAAATGTTTTAGCCTGTGCCCTAGGGAAGGATTAATTTACCTGCAAAATGTCATCTCTAATGGTATCAAAAGCACACTATAACAATGGAAATTATCCTTCTTCCTTTCTCAGTCCCAACTCAGTGATTTCAGCTATATTGCACAAAAAAGTTTCATCTTCTAAGTAAGAAGTGACCTTTTTTCTCTCCTCCCTAAACTTTGGCCTGCTCTTAAGTGAGGGCTACCAGCTGTGGTTTGGATCTTGAACTGACCGGACACTATAACATTTGTTTTTTTTTTAGTCTCATGAACATAGTTGAGCTAAGGCACTGAGAATAAAAAAAAAGCAGCGTATTAGCCACTAAGCTACCTGGCTGCCTCCATTGCATTTTTAAACCATTGCACTATTCTGCATTTGTGGTTAAGCAGCAAAGGCCTTTCAGAAAGGGTCCAATTCCCTTCCTCCCCTGCCCCCCAAAACATTGCATAATACAATTTAGAGAGAAAATTCAGAGCTCTAATATGAATTTCACTTTTTTTTTTTTTTTTTAATTTCGTAGGCATTTGTTTCTTACCCAGGCAGCTGGCTTGCAAGATGAATTACCTACAGATGGAATGAAAGGATTAGAAAATAGTGAACATGAAGGTAATTCACATGCCAGCAGCTCATAAGAACTGATAAATTATCGAACATTTAACTACTTTTCATTTCTTAACTTTTTTTCAAGCAGCCTTGGTTACATGGTGAGCACTTATTTCCCACTTAAATGTGGCCTCAGAGCAATGCTACACTGTAGTATGGATTAGGAGGAGGAGAACACAATTCTTAATACTGTTTTGAAACTGAAATCAATGTTTTGATTGTTGAAGGTAATTACTCATTATAGAACTAACCAGGAACTTGGTAAATAGGATCAGCCATCTTTTATGAAAACATGATTCATATGATCTTTACTGATCCACGTTGTCATAACTTCCTTATTATATGTTGTCCCAGAAATGACAATTTTGAACGCTACGCTGGCTTTTACTTGAAATGTATGTGCATATTACAGCCATTCAGCTCATACAGATACACCAAAGTTAATTTAAATGAGTCCCTAACAGAGCAGATGAAACTGCAGGGAACTCAGCCTGCACTGAAAATCTTGGTAAGCTATACTGATCTTTGTGCTCTATGTTCACTGGTAAGCGTGCCCAAGAAAAAGGCATACCATTAGACAAGAAGACCATGTCATTGTGTTTATCCATTCAGAGTGGCTTATATGGCTTCCTTAGTATCACAAAATTTCTTTTACATCTTTGTGTGGGTAGAAGAAAAAGAAAGAAAAGACAAAATTAAATTGAAGGGATAAGTTGCAAACACTGAAACCATACAGTCAGAAATATGTGAACAACCCTATTGAAGTTCTGGTCAGTTCCAGCCATATGTGGGCCTTTCTGGAGCCATCAGGCACCACAGAATCACAGAATCACAGAATCGTTTAGGTTGGAAGGGACCTCTGGAGATCATCTAGTCCAACCTCCCTGCTCAAGCAGGGCCACCTAGAGCATATTGCCCAGGATCACATGCAGACGGCTTTTGAGTATCTCCAGCGAAGGAGACTCCACTACCTCTCTGGGCAACCTGCTCCAATGCTTCACTGTGTGTCACCCTCACAGTGAAGAAGTTTTTTCTCAGGTTCAGGTGGAACGTCCTTGGTTCAGTTTCTGCCCGTTGCCTCTTGTCCTGTTGCTGGGCACCACGGAGAACAGGCTGGCCCCATCCTCTTGACACTCCCCCTTCAGATACTTGTACACGTTGATGAGATCGCCTCTCAATCTTCTCTTCTCCAGGGTGAACAGGCTGAACAGGCCCAGCTCTTGCAGTCTTTCTTCATAGGAGAGGTGCACCAAGAGGCTTGCACCAGCAAGCATCTTGGCTAAATCTTTTGAATTAGGCATATTTACTTTGAAGAGTTCATCTCTATTGCTTGTTCTAGACCTTTACAAAAGTTAATAGGAGGAATAGGTCTTGTTCCAATAAGCTAGGGTAAAGTCACTGTCCCAGGGAACCATATAATTGGCAGTTTACATACAGAATTGACTATCATTCTGAGAATTAATCAATCAATCAACTGCAAATGTGAGCTATTCAAGAGAGTTATGAATAGGCTAGCTGTGTCTCAGGAACTTGTCTATATGTATGTATATCGACATATAAACTGATGTAGAAAAGATTATACTTTTTATTTGCTGCCTTTGCTATTTTTAACTATATGAGGCTAGGTAGAATTTAAATGGAACTGATAAATATTCATTTTTTGCCCTTTCTCCTCCTACAGACCCATCACTTCTAACTTTTGATCAATTTCAGTCTCTGATCTTGATCAGAAATTGATCAGAATTGATCAGAACACAGAAAATTAGTGAGCAAAATCAACATTCAGGCTGGATTGTTGATTAAAAGTCCTACCAAAGCTGTTCATAACATCTCACTGATGAAGCCACATTAAAGATTACAGGCAATGCTCATACTGAGTACTAATTCTGATCTTCATGAAGTTTAACAACTACATACACATCATCATTGTTCTTTTCTTTTAAAAGCAAAGACAGATGGAGATGAAAGTCTCAGAAACGTCTCAGTCCCCCATCAAAAAGAAAAAGCCTTTTCAACGTTTCCATCTGAAACTGAGAATGAGCAGTCTCAAGAGAGCTATGACAAGCTGTGGGAAAACTCATTCACTCCAACTCTTAATAGCTTGTTGTATGAAGATGAAAAAGATTTCCAGGTATGAGTTAGAGTAATGGGGACTTTCACTGACATGAACTTATTTCGTTCTGGAGAATGAGCTATTGCCAGGAGTGGGCCTATTGTTGTTATGGCAGAAAAACCCCAATGTCTTTAAAATAACATGTGATTCAGTTGCTTAATCATGGGCATCTAGTGCTAATTGAGTTGAAGGACGCTTTGTGCTTCAGGTGCAGGGCTGAAAGAGCATGGGTTCTCTCCATCAGGTAGGGCAGCCTCATGTGGATATCTTGGATGCCCTGGGGCATTTCTGATAGCATGGGACACAAATGTTTAGGCAACTGAATGGTGTCCTAAGAATCAGCATATGTAAGTGTCAGGATGAGATTCCCCATAGAAAGAGCTCTGAATGTCACCAGGTTACAGTTACAAAGGTACTGCACAGACGCTCGTCTGCTTGGATGCTGATCCTTTTAGAACTTATGTTGCACAGTAGCAATAAAGGATCAACAAGTCAATGTAGGAGGTGAGAAAATAAAAAGGGATAGATTATATGTAGACAGAATTTGTATTGCTCTCAGAACAGGTGGAAGCACCTGCTTCAAGAAAGCCTTAGTCGTAGGTTGCAAAAAGATGTTTCCTGGGTGTCATTTGGTACTGCACACTTGAGTTACCAGCGCTTGAGAGTATTTGTAAACAAACTAATTACACTTGGAAAATACATTACTCAACCTCATGGATTTCTGCTGCACATTCAAGATGATAAAAAAGTGGTGCAAACTGTAGTGCTTGCTATGTAAATATACTTCTCTGTAATACATGGAGTTTCTTTTACTTTCACGTTTTCTACTGAAACACATTCAATAATGAAAGATAGTTTAAAAACCCTCTTTTTCTATAAATTGGTGTTAGTTTGATTCATATTCTGCAAATTGTGTTTGGAGAAATGATCCTGTTGCCCTGCTCAGAGAATGCTTTAACAAAGCCATTCGCTCTGTTCCGAAGAGTCATTACACAGAAAAGTTGAACATTTAACAGAATCTGTTCAAGTGTTTGTTTCCTTGCACTTGTTGCCTTGGGAAAAGAAAATTAGCTTTACTTCTTTCTCCTGCTGAGCCCACCCCACTGAGGGGCATAGGTGCTCCCAAGATTCTTGCACTTCATAGCAATTACGGTGTAATTGCAAAGCCACATCATCTTATGCCAACAGTGGAGTTGCATAGGCAACTAATATGAAAGCATGTCCTAAATACAACTGAGGTGACTCAACTGCAGTTTTCTTTCTTCCCTCTCCTCGACCTTGGCTGTATGACCTTGCTCCTGCCCTTATGGAACCCTAGTGCACATAAGCCCTTTTATTGTGATTCACTCACTAATGCAGCAGAAGAGCTTTTTTTTTTTGCCTCCTGAGTTAGTTTTCCATTGGGTTAGTGAACTCAATTGGCTCAGAGGTCTGGAAAAGCAGCACAAACATGTTGGAAGCACATAGCTGGACTTGGATCTCTCTCTTCTGACAGTAGTGAGCTGTTGGATTAGCTGAATCCTCACAGAACTAACCTTAAGCGCAGAATTTGATCTTTAGATAAAGTGTTATCAGTGAAAACACACAGGAAAAGAAGGGCACAGCAGGGCTGCAGCTTCCTAAGTTGAGCTGGCAAGGCCGACAGTTTGAAAAGAAACCTCTCTTTACTTGTAAACTAAGCCCATTAATACAGAAATCATTGAGCATGACAACCCCAGGATAGCATCTTTACAGTTGCTTTGAAAAGGAAAGCAGCTGTCTTTGAAGCACTGCCTCTTTTCTGTGTAATTGTAGAAGAATAATATTCTCTCTTCTGAAGGAATACTTAAAATTGGGTCCTCTGGAGACAAAGCTAATGTGTGTGGTTGGAAGAGCCATGCCTATTCATAAAGAATCACAAGAAATGCCAAGCAAGAGCCACTTTGAAGATGGTTTTATCAGTAAATCAGACAGGCACATCACAGCTCGGATGATCAAATCTTTATCTAAGGAAAAGGTTGGTTAAAAATAGACAATCTGTGCTGTTAATGTAGAAATGTAACATTCTCAGTTCATTAAATATTTGCTCTGTTCTTCAAGGAGTATATGGCACTGTGCTTTGTGGAAACTTTTTTTAAGTGCCCGAAACATGATTTACACATCAGAAATTTAATTAGAGGTATGTCTGTGTCCCGATGGCTAATTGAAAGGTTGCTTTCCTTACCACTGCAAGCCTCAGCAGTGACTCTTACACAGTCCTTGAGCTTTTCAATCCAAGCAGATTCATAGGTAACTAATAAAGAATCCAAGTTAATATTTAGCTTGTGTGGTTCCCACTTGCAGTCTGTCAAATTTGGAGTTATATCTTGATCAGACACTGAACAGATAAATTTAGGCTACCATAAAGTGCAAAACTTACAAAATACTTACTATCTTGCTAAAGCAGAATCCAGTTTATGGCAAGTATGGTTCAACTATTGATAGAAATTAAATGTTGGAATGCATTTTATCTCTCTGCATCAAAATACCAAGATAAATGTATTGAAATAACTCAAAATTATTTCAAAACATTTCAAAAGCAAAGCATTAAAGTCATAGACATCCTTAATTTTGTTTTTTTGTTTAAGAATTGGCCAAATATGTCCACTCATACTGCACATCCTGGACACCCTATCTGGGGTACACAGCGCACTTTCTGACAGGCACAAGTAGGCTTCCCTCCTTAGGAACTTGTGGTAATGTTGATTATCCTGATTTAAACCCTAGATGGGTTAATCAATCAAGTGCCTTTTTTATCCTTTTTTTTTTTTTTTTAAACAGCCTAATACCCATATGGTGTCTCAGCTCATCTCATACTTCAGAGAAAACTCTATGTTCTTTAAGAGAGCTCAGCTATTCCTGCCCATCAGGTGTCTCCTTGAGAGCAAGTCAAACTGTTCTCTAGGCTTCAATGACTACCACTTTTTAGACATCTTGCTCACAAGGAGTCATCTAAAGGTTGGAGGCTTAACCTCAGGCTGAAGCCCACATGCACTGCCACGTAGTAAACATGAGATGGATGCAGTTGCTGAAGCCTAACTGAGTACAGTGGTGTTACCACAAGGACTGAAGTGACCCTTAGCAGCCACGTTTCAAAAGAATGAGGATGCTTACCTGTGAGGTGCTAGTGGTTCAAGCATAGCAGAAATCTCCCCTTGGCTATGTTGACTGTTGACTTTTTTTTTGACTGAAGCACAAGCCAAATGAAATGGCTTACTGGAAAGAGCGATTAGTTCTGCTCAATGATTAGTTTTGCTTTTTTATTTAGACACAGATTTAGAATACTGCTTGTGTTGAGCAGCTTTTCAGTTAAAGAAAGGACTCTCCTTCCTACTGCCATGCTCTAAAGGGCATTTACATTTTCTTAGTGATGTACATATAAACCTATTTACAGGCTTCCCTTAGCTCATGCCCATAACACGCACCACCACGTGCAGGACATGGGGCATGACAACATGCACTATGCCTCAGAAAAAGTAAATTTGTCTGCTTCTTGAAGTCAGTATTTAGCCTGTGTGGGTGAGAGGGAGTTAAAAAGAAATCTGGAACATGCTAATTAGGGTGCAAGCCACAGGCAGCCTGCACAGGCTAGAAGCAACAGCCTGGAGCACAATTTATTTAGTGAAGTGTCCCAAATCCCCTTGACTTCCATAGGATTAGCATTAAGGTCAGCATGAGGCTTTTATATGGAGAACAAACTAGGTCTTCAACAAATGAGACATCTGGATCTGATAATTTTGTTACTGGCAAAATCTCTCAAAAATGAGCAACATTTGTAAAACAGTGGGCTGGTCAGTACATTTTCCAGCAGTGTGGCCAAAATTTCCAAGTCCTGCTTAAACAATGGGAGTCATGGTTCACTACACCAGTTAGTGCAAAACTTACCTCATAGAAGTTGCCCGTGAACTCTCAGCATTCTGAAATAGTTGCTGTCACTGTGTTTCTGTTGTGAAAGACAAGCACAGGGCATCAGTTGGGCTACAAGATGAAGAAAAATGTCCATCTGTTCACACAGCTACAACCCAAGCAAAAGCTCTGTTCAGCCAGTGTTAACGTTTTTAATTGGCACTTACACAACTTTTAAGAAATTTGCAGTTTCAACAGGAAAACCTTACAAGTGTTGGCTGGATTCAAAGTCAGATTAAAGAAATATGAATGTCACCCAAGTTACATGTTAAGCACACTGTAATAAAAGCAATTTTAATAGAACTGAAGTGCATGTGCTGGAAGTGAGTAACATCAACCCAGTAAATGCCTGAGAAAGTACAACTGAGTGTGATGTTGTGTACTGCTAGTCTCTGTCTACTGAAGTGATTAAAGGAGATGCTTACCTCAGCACATTACTGGTTTGAATTGCTGCTCGGAGAGGTCTGAGCAATTTCCCTGTTAAATCAAGCAACTGGATTACATAGCTTTATTGTCTGGCTGTCACGCCAGTCTTCCAAAAGGGCAAGAAGGAGGAGCCAGGAAACTACAGGCCTGTCAGCCTCACCTCCATCCCTGGAAAGGTGAGGTTTGGATAAGCACGTTTTCATTAGAAAAATCCAATTTGTATGACCCAAAACGAACTCTGCCAAAACTCACAGAGAATTCTGAATAAACCCCCTCCTGGCTTCCTGTAAGCAAGAAACCCTGAATTACCTGGCAGAATGATCAGGAGCTTAGGCTTCCCTGGCCTATGAATCCAGTACAGATCTATTGTGCAGACAGATCTAGATTTCTAGGCTCCTTATTATAGTTCTCAGAGCCTAAAACTTCTAATTCTAACAAGGGCTTGACTGTAGCACTGAGGAAGAAGCCTAGCAGCTTTAGTGACCCTCTTCATAGCCTGTGGAAACCAGGTTCCAGACTTTCAGCTCTGCACTGGGATTTTTCCTGATTTCTAGAAAGCCTGTAGGCTTCTCCAAAACTAACAGACAAGCCCACAATTCCTCCAGCTGATGAGAATTAACTACACAGTTCCTGAAAGTCAAACCAAAATAGCTACCTTTTTTCCAAAATGCACAGTATAAACAGTAGACAAAGGAAACTGGATTTTGCAATAAAAGCTATTTTTATGAAAGCAAAATAGTCACATGACCTGTTACCCAGCTTTTAAAAGAGCAATGGAACTTGCTCTGCCTGCCAGTCCTGAAAAAAAGGACTAAATTTAAGTCGAAGACAGAGGTCTTGCTAGGCAACAGAGCTACATTCCAAATCTTACATGTTTATAGCTTCCCTCATTGCCCTAACTCCACCCTCTATACTTGACAATTAAAAAAAATGCAGTTAGGCTTAACCCTTGAAAGACTTTGACTTTTACCACAGCTGAGACCATCCTGGTTTTTAACTAGGTAAATTTTTCAAAGCAAAGTATATTGATGTGCGGCTTACATATACGAGGCACGTTTCCAAACTCTCAGCCCACCTGCCTTGCAAGAGGGAAATCAAGGTCTCCATGGGTCTTCAATATGCTAATTTCCAGCCATTCACGTCAAGCTACATTGAGATTTGATGCTGAGGTATCCCTCTCAATGTAAAGTCATTACTATAGGCTGTTGCTTGCTAATTTCAATACATACACATTTCTCCAAAGTCATCCTAAAAATATTATTTTGTAAATACGCCTTGAGGGAAAACCAAACTCAGCTTCCTTTTGAAATGAAGCTTTTACTTTGCTTCCTTGAAACCTCAGACAAACTCTTCAAATAGGGCGTCAGCCTCTCTAAATTGTTCAGGGTTGTGCAAATTTTTAATTTAAGTTTGATAATGAAAAACGGAGCCCCTAGAAAATTCCACTTAACAAGAAGGAAAGTCAATGAATATCAAAGTGAATCATGTAAGGAAATAAGTACCCAATGAGTATGGAACAAGAATATGCTTATAATTCATTTATAATGAATTGAGGGCTACCAAGATGATGAGGGGGCTGGAGCACCTCTCCTATGAAGAAAGGCTGGGAGACCTGGGCCTGTTGAGCCTGGAGAAGAGAAGACTGCGAGGCGATCTCATCAACGTGTACAAGTATCTGCAGGGGGAGTGTCAAGAGGATGAGGCCAGCCTGTTCTCCGTGGTGCCCAGCAACAGGACAAGAGGCAACGGGCAGAAACTGAACCACAGGAAGTTCCATCTGAACCCGAGAAACCCGTCTGGATGTGATCCTGGGCAATATGCTCTAGGTGACCCTGCTTGAGCAGGGAGGTTGGACTAGATGATCTCCAGAGGTCCCTTCCAACCTAAACCATTCTGTGATTCTGTGATTCTGTGATTCTGTTTAAGTATGATTTCTCTGCAGCCTGAGCTGCAGGGAATGTAGGTTGCTTAACTTTTTGTCTGGTTTTTGAGAAGTTTGCAGTCTCTGATGCAGCTAGGTTATATAACGAGGCAATCCTTTCACAGGTCCAGACCTGCATATTCTGAGAAATGAGGGTAGGAGAGTTGTTCTGCAGCATTTGTTCTTGTTTGGCTACTCTCTTTTAAGTTATTAAACAGTGTTTCTGCTGGCTAAAAGGAGTTTGCCAGAACAAGGTCAAGACAGAATCTAATGGACTTAAAAGCCATACTATAGCGACAAGGAACAGAGAGTCTAATGGTACTAGCATCTAAGCCACTCATGTTTTGTAGATGGCTATTCCTCTTAAAAGACTTTCCCTTGGGTTTTTGAGTCTACTGTAGAAGGAAGACCATTCCTTTGTAATACTTGCATTCTAGAATACACGCTTGGCAGACTATCACAAACATTTGAAATTGGTTTAGGAAAGGTTACTTCACAACACGGCAACAACATACTGCGCTTTATAAAAGTCAGCAGCTGTTTTCACTCCATGGCCTGTGGAGCATTTCCATTGGGCCATAGAAAGCTGATATTTGACACGGTGCTAGCTCTCTCCCTTGCTTTTAGTGGTTAAAAATGCAGCAAGAGGTTAAAATTATAGTCAAATACTGCCCTAGCACAGCTTAGCTGACATGGAGAAGTTCAGTTTTAATTATAAATGAGTCCAAGATCCATGCTATGAAAAGAAGTTGGAGACCCCAGCTCTTCTCCTTGTATACCACAGCTGCAGGATACCTAGAGCAACACAGTTCCATCCAGCACATTTTCAGCAGCATCATCAGATCTTGCAACAGAACTCAAAGGTGGCTGTTTGTTCCAAGGCTTTCCATTTTTGCCTTAGGAAATTTCATCAGCAGTGAAGCAGAAGAAATAAGACATGTATTTTACTCAACTAATACTGATATGTTATCTTGGGCAAATCATCTCCCACAAGTAAAACGGGGGTACTATTTAATCAGCATTCAGATGCAAAAGGATGCCAAGAGAGTAACAGCAGTATTACACCTTGCTACTATTCAGGTTTCTGCCCATTTCTCTTGATCTAACCAAAACACAGCATACTAATCAGCTAATTCCCTCCATTTTCCAGTTTTGACACGGAAGCGGAAACATCAGAAATTCAGACTTTTTGGGCAAATGCAGTTAAAGCTGTCAAGAATATTTCCGCTCTCCGCTGTGCAGTGCATGGTAGCTGCTAAGGTCAAGTCAAAAGCTTGTCAAGAGGCAAAGGAGAAAGTTTATTTACATATGCTCTCATTAACATTGGTTTTGCTTCTGTATTCAGCAAATTTCTTCCCTACCTGTTGCATGATCTTGTCAATCTTCTGCTGCCATCAGCATTTACCATCTCTGCTAGTATTTTGGTACCAGATATTTTGCCCCTTTTATCCCTATTATGTTTGTTATGGCCTTCAAGTTCTAATTATTTTACCTTACCCCAAAACCTATACCTACACTCTGAAAACAGGCACTGTTTGTTCAAGAGAAGATGCAGGTTTTGCCACACCCCTCCTCTTTGCTGAAAGCCTGTTTAGCAGCTGGGCGCTGTGGCTTTTTCTCCTATGACTTACTCCAATAGCTAGTTAAATAGACCATCTGATGTGATGTAAAGTAGACAGTTTTAAATATCTCCTTAGGTACCATCAGTGTCAATTTATTGCAAGTAAGTTTAATTTGTGACTTTGGGGAAGAAAAAAAAAAACACCAAACAGCTCAAGAATTTTGATTTACCTCCAGATGAACGTTCTACATTTGGGCTTTTAGGAACTACATGAATTTACCAGCTGTTCAGGTTCTTGTGGCAAAAACAATTGTCTTAAGAAATAAGTCTCAGGGTCATTCTGTTCTCAATTTATGATATAACTTACCCTGTGATAAAAAAGCATTACGATACTCGCACACCAATAGCTTCCTTCACACAGTTCTGAACTGTAGCCCTCTAAAAGCACCCTATCTTCCACTGCTTATTAAGAGTAGACAGCTTTCCTAGGTGCTTTGCTAATCAAGTTTTCACCTCCCCCCATAACTGGAAATGGCCAGTAACTCAAAAGAAGTGCATCTATGAGCTGCATTTTCAGTTAATATACAGCTACATGTTATTCTAGCAGTATGAAAAAGGGACATCTTTATTAGGAACAAGGTAATGGGGGAAAATAATCCTCAGGAAAATTCTCAAGACAGTTTTTCTCTGAAGAATAAATTAAAAGCAAGGCCTCCGACAAGAGAGTTTAACCAAGGGAAGAGTTGTGTTTAAAAAAAAACAAAAAAACACAACAGTAAGGGATAACAGAAGAAGAATCAGTCATCCCTACAGAAGAGCCTTTTTTGGTTTTGTGTGCATGCATGTGTGCGTTCGTGGGTTTTTTTTTGTTTTGTTTTTGTTTTCAAATCAGAAGGGTTTGCAAGCTCAGGTCCATGGCCCCACAAAGAGTTTTTGAAGTACCTCTGAAGAATCAAAAAGGATCTTGAAAAGCAGACCTGTCATCAGGTCAGTAGGCTTAACAAAACTAAGAGACTGAAACCACTGTGCAGAGCACCATGACTCTAATTAGATAATAAGGGTGATGTTTGTTTTATCATATCTCAGCACACTGGGATAAGGAGGAGGAGGAGGAACAAGGTCCACCTTGATCTTTGACAGCTATGAACTGTATTTCAACACAACATATCCTTTGGTGGCTAACAGTACACAAAAAGGGACACCTTTTTCTAAATGACCCTAGATTCAGATACAGTTCACATTCTTGATATTCTTGCTCCAAGCAAAAACTGAAAGGAAGTTGTTCTGCAATATAGTCCTAAAGTCAAAGCTCAAGTTACAGGAAGTTAAAAGCTTTAAGTAAACTGTACACAAAACTTGCCATATCTGTGCCTGTGCATTATATACCCTGAAAGAAACAGGTTCAATTTGTTATTCATGGTTTTTAGAAATAAATTTGAAGTCTACTGCTCTGTACTGCTCATTTTATGATGTACATGTATATACTTTTAGGACAAGCTCCAGGTAGTTGAGAAGAACAAAGCTCCACTTCTGTCACAATTCCACGTGGTGATAACTAGGCTCTGAGGCAGGGGACGTTTGAGCAAGCTGCTCAAAGCTTCTCTGGCACCACCTTACGCTGGAAGCCTTGGGGGAGATGCCTACTTTTTTGTGAATATTTCTGCTTCTTGCCCGGTTATGAACAGTGCAAGTTTTCTACCATGAATATTTTGGAGAACTAGATGACAGGGAAATATCACTTTAAATTAGGAATCCAGCTCTTAACGAGACAAGCCATTGCAACGGAACTAAGGCAGTCCGCTATAGCGCCACAGGGAAGTTGTTCTATACAGCGTCATTCACAGATTCATAGCAGTGCACTTCCTGTAATACATTATGCACATGTGAAATAGATTTGGTATTTTATTAAGTAAACAAAGCAATCAGTGCACATTTTAAGCAGCAAAAAGAAAAGAAGCACCTTAAGACTTTCATACCGTAACAAAAGTTCTGTGGAAGCTGCATTTTATTTGAAAATCCACCCATTTTTGCTAACATACATTTTAATATTTTAAACAAAAATAGAATCTGCAGAGACAATGCAGCAAGTATGCTTAATTCATGTACAGAATTGCTTTCATATCACTGACTATCCTTCTGAAGACCCCTCTCCACCCAAAAGTTATGATGTATTTACACAAAGCACCGATCAACAGTGCTACTTTAATTCATTAACTAGATTCCCACTAGACATATGTAAGGAAGCTACTTCCCTTTTTTTTTTTTTTTTACTTAAAAGGTACATGATCATAAACATGGCACTAGCCAAATGAAAAGGCTTCCCCTCCCACCCCACCCCCCACATAATACCTCCGTTTTTACAGAAAAGAAGGAAAGTCTTGAAGTGAAAGCAATTCCTCACATTCATTTTGGAAAGGCCTTATAATGTCAAATGTAAAAATAATGACATGCCAAGCACAAAGCAATAAAGTTCCTTCCCAATGCACTGATGCTGAATTAAAAATGTAGTGCTTCTTCTAGTCAGTTAACTGTTCCCTTGCAAAATCCTAGGCACAGAATTGACTATAAGGATTAATGCATTTTACAGCTCTTCCCTAATTCCCATATATACTGAGAATTCATTAGATTCAGACCTTTAAAATATTTAGTGCTCTGTATGTCAGCTGAAAAGCATTCTGAATCAGATTCATTCTTTGTGGATAAAAATCAGACATACTGTATACATCCATACTCATTTTCATAAGGAGGTTTTTTGATACAATATTAATGTTAAATTGATAATCATAAATAAATACAAACAATAATACATAAGGAATGTCTACTGCAAACTGAATATATAATTTTTAAAAAAAGTTAATTTCCATTACTGCTGTGCCTACATTTGTGAGGACTGAAGAAAAAGGTAACTGCAGAATTAAGAGTTAGGATTTGACCCTCCCCTCCCCAAAGTCTTATTTTAAGTTACGGTAAAGGACATCTCCATTCCAGACAGCATTTCCAAATACAAATCTTTAATTTCCATAATAAAGGCTTCTCTTAGTATGTTACTGATTATGGATATTATTAGAAGCCGAAAGTATTGATGCATGAGTCACTAGGACACAAAACAGATCCTAGTCTTAATTCATGACAATGCTTGGCTTCGTACTGTGTATTGATGCTTTCCTACGGAGTTGTCCCAGGTTCCTTCATTGGTCTTCATCATTTTACTGCATCGTTTAATGGAAGAGGAGCGTTTGAAAGACTGAAGTTCAGTTTTTCCTGGAAGTAGGGTTTACTGTTGGGCACATCTTTTTGGAACTGTTCCTTTCTCTTCCATCTAACAGAGTTACATAAACTGAATCTGTAAAGATTAAAAAAATCCTTGTGTTAGAGTTCAACATAACCAGAGGGAGGACTCCATTATAAACCTACTTCCAGTAGTTTGTGCGTTTGAAGTTTTGAACAAAAACACGTATTTACAAAAGTAGGGTCAAAAAAACAATCAAAAGCCACAAGGACATTTTTCCAACCATAGCAGCTTTCAGAAAATCTGTTTGCATTAAGCTGTTTTGTACAGCAATTAAAAAAAAAAAAAACCTATGTATCCATATCATATTGTCACCAGCTATAGTATAACACACAGATCAACACGATTACAAAAAGAATCCAAGGTCATATTTCTTTGATCCAGAGGAAGTACGTGAAGAAAAGCGGACCGCTCTGTGCAATTAAAGGCTATGCATTACACTATGTTCTTCAAGTATTTCATTGCTTCACTCATTTTAGTATTTAATCCTCCTCATCCCCAACTGATAAACACATGAACACTAAAAAGATTCCCAATGCACTCTGTACCAAAAAAGTTAACTCTTACACATATGAAACCAAATGTCTGCTTGTTGCATAAAGTAAATTCTTTGATTACACAATCTGGTTAAGCATGCAAGCAGGCTGTCAGAACCAGTCGGGCATTCGCTGCTAAACATGAACCCTAAACATTTTCCGGATGAAATGGTAAATACCAGGTAACGTCCGTTCATTCTTCCTGACTACAGCAAGTCCTAGGTGTTCCATTCTTGCAGTTCAGAAAGGAGCTACCAGGCTTTATTTCCGAAGGACTGAAGCAAAATACTAGTGCACTTGATCAGGCCTTTAAACTGTTGCAGTTAACTACACAAAGTTTAAGTCACTTCCACAATGCTTCCAACTCAACATGATTTCTTTTTATTATTATTATTAATATGACTAGAACTGTTTCTAAGAACATAAAACTTGAATTAGAACTTCTATCTCTGTTTCTTATCACCAAAACCAGCATCTCCCCAGAATAACGGACAATACCTAAGTTGCTCTACAAGAAATCCTGGAGAGAGAGCTCTGCAAAAGGATCCTTTCCTGAGGCTCTGTGAGGACTCTGACTGGAAGGGCTGGATGCTGCAGACAGCTAGTAGGAAAGACGACAGAGAAAGGGAAAGAAAAAGAAAAAAGGTCTCAGAATGACAGAATATGAAAGCTGGAAGTGTAATGAAAGGACAAGGGGAGGTTAAGAGGCAAACTGGGCAGAAATCAACTATTAAAACAAGGTGTTTGGTCACATGGAAAACAGAAAGCTTCTTCAATGGTTGGTGTAATGCAGAAACAAGCTGGACATGTCCCTCTGCAAAAGAGATTTCTATTGGCTTTTGCCAAATAAGCAGATAACCTTGCACCTTCACAGCAGTTTTGTATAATCTTTTGAAGAAAACATTAGGCCTGACACTCCTGTGAAATGGGTTAGCACTCTCCCTGCTCTACTGTTAGAGGTACGTACTGGCACAGGGAGACACGGCTGAGGGTCTAGCCAGAGCACGGCAGCTTTCCAGATGCCTTCTCCATAAGAAATAGCCTCCTCTCAGCATCTTTTTCCCCCCCTCAAAACATACTGTGTGTAAAAAGAGGCTGAAGGGCAGCTAATAGCACTCATTTTGCAGACTAGCAGGGGAACACAGTGCATATTCTGTGGGTAGAGGAAAAAAAGATGAGGAAGTTTGACAACTGCTGCTTTTTAGGTGAGAACAGAAGGCTCCAATCAGTAATTTCCATATTTTAACAAAAAACATATCCTTTAGTCAGGTACTTAAATGAATCTGTGGTTTGGGCGCTTTATTTAAAGCACATGACAATTTATGATGTAATAGCACACACTTACTGCCAGCTGTCTTTCACCCACATTGAGTGGGGATAGTGGCATTTCAGCTTCTGCTGGAAGGGACCAATAATCTGCAAGCTGTAACAGTAGTAGGACCTATTCTTTATTTTCTTGATTTTTTTTTAAGCCCTTTTTCCTCTTTGTCAGTGCTTTCTCATTTATAAATGGTGCTTTATTAAATCAGATTTGCCTTCCCACAGAATCGTTTAGGTTGGAAGGGACCTCTGGAGATCATCTAGTCCAACCTCCCTGCTCAAGCAGGGTCACCTAGAGCATATTGCCCAGGATCACATCCTCTTGGGTTTTGAATATCTCCAGC